AGAGTCGCTTCTTCGGAATTTCACCAAGGCAGTTCATAAAATACGAAACTTGAAGTAAACATTTTTTAAATTCTTGTGATTTTTTTCCACTTAAAACATGTCTGAATTTTACTAAAAACATTATTGAAACTCTTACTATAACGTTACCAGGGGTTTCTGGGGTTTATTTCAAAAGATTGGTCCGCCGATAAACTTTCAACTTAAAAAAATGTAATGCGCGAACCCTTTTTGCAGAAAAGAGCCTTCTCAACAGCACGGACAAATCAAGCTTCACGATCAGGCCTTCTAACCTTGGGTACCCTCTTTGTGGTAGTTGCCGTGGTACTCAATGTGCTGGCCGTCGTCCCGGCTGTAGCATCCTTGCTGGGCCCAAGTAGCCCGTTGGCCTAACAAAATCGGAAAGGTTTAGCAATAGCCGAATTTACTACTAACCTGATCCTTACGACACGCCAAAGCCCTCGGACTCCAATCGCACTTCAGATCATTCCATTTCCCGGCGCCGGTAGCGTCCATATTTTGTTCAAGACTTTTCGTCTTGTCGAACTTCCAATAGCGTACGTACATCTGAAATTGTCAAACTGGGTCTACCACAGATTATTATCCTATTTTAAGAGGTACTGATCCGAACATACCTCAATACACGTCTCGCCCTGGTCCCTATGATCGTTCGGCTCCTTACGAGCCCAGTTTGTATAGTTGACAGGTTTCCCGTCGATCCACTTGAATTCCCAAGGCCCCTTTCCGGTCTAGAATAAAAATGGGTCCTTCGTATGAACACACCGTACCATGTTGGCTCCCAGGAAAAAGGCTTCTTTCTGTTTGACTTGAGCATGGATGGCAAACTCTGAAACGAAATTTAGATTTTGAAAAATGAGGGCGATGAACCTAAAAGGTCCTTATTTTCGTTCGCATTTCTGATTAGCTAACGGTTGCACCATACCGACGGCATTCAGCCGAGGAGTTTGACATGCTGACGTTGCGGATTAGCTGAAAAGCACTTGCTTGACCCCAGATTCATCATTAACAGATTATTAAAAAGCATAAAAATGCGGCGGATAATATTTGTGAGTAATGACTGCTTCTCGAACGTTTTGAAGTTTTTGGGTCGGGCAAGATTTTCCTGGCAATCTTACTTTAAAGCAGCTTCTCGTCCGATTCATCGCCGTCCACCCATCCTGACAAGTCAACTGAAAGTGGCATGATCCTAGTCAAACGTAATTTTGTTTGTTTTGAAAGTCTCTGATCCTGCTATCGCAGTTTTGAACCTTCTATCAATAAGTTTGAAAGCTAAGCCTTACGTCATCACAACCAGAACCAGCACAATCAATCGCCGCCGCAGCGACTATGGTCAAAATGGCCAATAAAAACACACCAAAGTTTAGAAACATTTTTCAAAGCCCTTCTGCCACTCCCCGAGTTGCTTTTATACAAACGCTTCTACTTGAAATTTTATGCAGCAGTTCACCAGAATTTTTGGCGGCGTCTTTGTTCTCACATTTTTCAAGTGTGTCAGTGCTATCAGGTGGCAGGCTTTCGGCTTGTTGACGTGGTCATTTTTTAAAAATATTTGGAAGGGTGATATTGCACATTATTTCGCGGAATGAATTCGCCCCGCAATGCCTTGCGTGACGGCGGGCATTTGATGCATTTTCACGGATCAATCAATACACTCTATAACCCGCGAAAAATTGCGATCAATCAATTGATTAACATCGAGATTTTCCGAACTAGAAAGGTTGTTTGTCAAATAAGCCTCGCTTCACGCGTTAATAAACCTTTGCTGCAAATTTCCGCATCTTTATTGATAAAACGCTTGCAGATTTCTCACAAGCGAGACACTTCGAAGGGCATCACACTTCAGGTCGTTCCCATGGACCACCGGTGCCGAGCATCTAGAATATTTGCAAAGCCACGCAAGGATCAAAATCCGAAAATAACGATTTGAAAAAACCTTTACTCTGCCTCCAAACAATATTCCAAACCTCAAAATCATTCATGGAAGCATCATCGTAATTTGTATACGTACATCGGGGTCCTGTCAGCCCACTCCAAAGTCGAATTGTCCGGGTCCCGGTCTAGGACGTGTTTTTGATTATTTGTGCCTAAAAGAATACCCTTATCCCATTCAAGTAAGGACTGTAGTAGAAGTTTTTCGATAGCCAAAGGTCTAAAACATGATATTTTTAAGGATTCTGCCCAAAACTGAAAATCGCTCGATTCTCAGCCGAAGTCTCCACGGTCAGAACCTCGCTTCTAGGCCTTCGCACGTCATTGTGGTATCATTAAACGTTGCATTTTGGCCTGTCATCTAAAGAAAATCAGGGTATCGTCAAAGTTTAATCAGGTACCATATAATATTTAGCAGTGCTGTTTCCAAACGTCCAGCCGTCGTCTGCACAATAGTACTAAAATATTTTGATAGAGTTATTAAGGTAATTTGGCAGGAAAAAGTATCAATAGAAAAAAGTTACCTTTGGTAAAAGTTATTATTTTTGTACAAGCTTGAATAAGAATATCGCACGCATTAATGACATCCGTTCCCGGACGAGCTATTCAGAAAGATCACGTCAGGGTCTCCAACAACTGGTCCGTACGTTTGACAGTGGATATCTCGACGCAATAATAACGATATGCCCTGGACTCACCAATGCCTTTACAAGCGTCTCCCAAATTCACACAAGCTTCGAAACAAATCGCATCCAAGTGTCAGTGGAAGGTGAAGGACTCGGGAATCGGACAGAAGTAATATTGACCATCTGTCGGAACAAGGTATAATATGGCAACAATTAAATTAGAAAATTTAGTCGAAGGCCCATTTCAAGTAAATTTGAGAATTCCAGCACATTCAGAATACGGAAACAGCTTCACAGTTTCCTTAGAGGGCGGCTAAATCCCAAGCGCATGTTGGGCGCCATCGTCATGTGTAGTCCGGGAAATAAATGGAGTGCCGCGGACCAAGAAGAAAATGACCGAGGGGCTGGAAAGAGTGGAATTTGAAAGCTTTCTTGATGTTTGAGGGAAAGGAACAATTTTAGGAACAGCCATTATGGTATTTGAAGTCCACTAGGGGACATAATTTTGACGGCACCCAATTTTTTCAAAAATTCTCGGTACGGAAATTGTTTCAAGAAGAGCTTCTATCGAATGAAAGTTGCCGAACGCCGTCACAATACGGTAAATTTACAATCGTTTTTCCATTCTAGGCCGAGAAATTGTTTTAAGAAGATTTTCGTCAAAAAGCACTTTGGCCGGTGGCCAAAACAGTGCGTTATTGTAACCTTTATAATGCTTTGAGATCTGGGGATTTTACGGAATCCATTAGTCGATTCGTGGAAAAATTGGGCATCATGAAACTTGCCCGATATGAAACTGGGATAATTTAAACGTTTTGATAGGCAAATCGAACTAAAGGAGCCTTAGCAAACTTGCATATACCATGCCATCACAGACACGATCAAAGCTGTCGCTTTGTCTGTGCATACTTCCAGAATTTGCTAGTCCCATTAAACAAAAACGCCGCTTTCTCCTCTTTTTCCAAAGTTCTAGGGGTTTAAAGGATCGAGACCTTTCATGTTTACCGCCATCACTGCGATTATTGCACCCAGCACGACACACAATCCCACAATTTCACACCAATTGTTAAGGTCACAGGATCTGGCTTCGTTGTGAGCGTTTTTTATACTTCAGACTCTTTGACGCTGAACTGTGAATTATGTGTTGCTGGTAACTATAAAAACTGTAGCAAAAACTAGGCGAAAGCACAATTGACACGGAGGTGCCAGAATTAAGCATCTTTTAGGTTCCCACGCTCCCTGAACTGCTGTATCAGTTTCGTCGACATCCCCAAAAGGCCAGAAACATTGCGGCAACCTGCCGGTATATAAGGATTTTGTGACGAGCTGTGATATTTATGTTCTTGAGGGGGTGATAGAGCCTCAAATGACTCAGAGCAAGAACTGAAGTCTTTATAAAATCCGTGTTTCTTGAGCCCGAATTTGATGCTGAGTTTATCCAAAAAAAAAGCCCTAAAACTTTTTATCCTGATTTTTGCGCTTTCTTCACTTCAAATTAATTTTCATGCAAACTCGTGGGCTGGTATACTTTGGGGCATTGAGCAATATACTTAATTTTACGCTAAAAAGAATATCCAATAGGAGTTTTCAAGGTATACCATTATGTATACCAAAAAACTATAGAAATTCACTCTAAAAATTAGGAATTTCTGGTGTTTTGAGTCGTCCCCTCACCAGCCCTAGCTGGAATTTGCTAATTTAGGCCAGTTCTATAACACGATCGTGATCGGTTTGACGCTGGCTGCTCCTGGTGAATTTTTCTCTGAAGATCGATTTTAATAAAGGATTTCATATTTTTGGTGGATTGAAGCACTAAACAATCTGATCTCAAACTTGAAGTATATCATCAGAAAGAGCGTTTTCTGGAAGTTTGTCAAGGTGGTTGGTCCAATCCAAAACAGGCTGTCCACCAAAAGTCCACCTCAGAGCACAGTCCAGCGAACACAAAAAGCGTAGAAAAACCGGTTTAGCTCCAAATCAGCTAAAACGAAATTGTCAGACAACGAACGCCCAACAAGTCGCCTGAGCAGCGATACGCTGTCTGTCATTAAAAACCTTTTCTTTGCGATATTTTGGCTACCTACTGCCGTTTGTGCATCCCAGAGATTCAGACCTATTCAATGCTGTTCCGCCTCGGTTTTGTGATCGCTCTCCCAAATTTTGTTTATGCCTCAGCCAATGATTTAGGAGTGAGCCTGAGTCATCATTGCTCTTTCACATAAATGATTAGGATCCATTTGGCATGCAATATATCAAACATTGTCGCACGGCACATCGTTCCAGAGACCAGTTAAACATCATCTTAAATCTTACTTCAATTTGGATTAAGGTGATGACCTCCAAGCAATTTTCTCCCCCATTATCATTATCCATATTGGCCATGTCATAGTTGGAATAGTCCATTGGCGATCCGTCAAGCCATGCAAAATCAAGCTGGCCGCTATCGGTCTGAACCATTTCGCATTATAAGCGCCTCGCTGACATGAAAGCCCTGATTCATTAGCGGGGGGGTGATAGCCTACTGAGGGGCCGTGGCCTCCCCCGCTAATCAACTATAATAATTTTGTTGTGGTCTCTGTCCGTCAGGTCCTGAATTCAACTCGAAGGGGAAAAGGAGCTGGAACCATAAGTCTCTTCCGGGATTCTGATAGAGCGTGGTCGGAAACCCCCAAACTGATAAAAAAATTATAAAAAAGTTTTGATTTAAATTATTAAAATTAACTTTGAAAGTTTTTTCCTTAGTAAAGAGGGGGGGGGACAGAGGTTGGGGATTTTGGACATAGTGAGCCAGGTGGCGCGCGTTTCGTGGATGAAAATTCTCACGGGGATTTCATTTCTTTTTTCTCTCATTCCATCCGGTCGGTCGTTAATTCCGTTTTCTTAAAAGGGTTTCGGCTAGGGGAGGCATCCGAAGCCATCGGGAAGGTATTTAGGTAGTTCTTGAAGGGGATTTCAGCCAAGGGGGGTATCATGAAGCCATCGGGAAGGTATTTAGGTAGTTTTTGAAGGGGATTTCGGCTAGGGAGGTATCCAAAGCCATCGGGGAAGGTATTCATAGGTAGTGTTTGAAGGGGATTTCGGCCATCCGGGGTATTGATGGAGGTGGGATAGCATGTGGTGGAGTGGGACATGTAGGGTAACCCGAAGGCCAGTGTAAACAATAACAAAAAGGAAACCACTTCACAGAAAGGTGAAAGTGTATAAACCCCGAATGCTTACCCGTTCCGGCATTCAAGAATGAGCCAAGGGTCCCGGCGCATTTGGATATTAATTCTGAAATATGGTGAACCTTATTGTGTTGTCGACAAACCGTTGATGGCCCGGTTTTCTTCTTGTTTGGATCACCAATGGGGACGCATTCAGAGCCTGGCAGGTGCTGACAACTTCATCAAAAGTCCCATTCTCGCCCGTAAACTAAATTAGTGTAAAAAGAGCAGCAAAGATAAGAGCAAAAGATTGGTTTCAAGAGTGTTGGAATCCAAACTACCATAGGAAATTACCTTGTAGCACATCTGCGCCTGGATCGCCAGCAATCCAACCAGCACCACACATAAACTAAAAATCTGGGATCAAAATATTTGGCTTGA